GTGTGTGTGTGTGTGTGTGTGTGTGTGTGTGTGTGTGTGTGTGTGTGTGTGTGAGCCGCAATAGCAAAGCAGCAGTAGGGAGGGAGAATTGGCCAGCTGGTGTGGGGTTGGCAGTCTGGGCTCGCGACTTCGCTGTCAGGCTGGAGCCACCTTGCCGGCGGACACCGAGGAGGTCTGTGTCCTGGAGGAGGCAGTGGTGCTCTCATCCTCGCCGAACGGGTTCTTCCCGCAGCACAGGGTGGTGATCATGCAGTTACGGAACTGTGAACGGCCACATTGTTACCAATGTAGACACACACACACACACACAACACACATTTAGTCATTTTTTTAATAGATGTTGAATTTTCTATTTCCTTTATAAATGCTCACACACGTGCAAATTTGCATTCAAGGCAAAGACATGGAACACAGCAGAAACCTGGACCCACTTTAGCATGAACATAAAGAAGTGCAGACTAGTGTTCCCTTAATGTCCTCACTATTAGTGCTAAATAAAACCATCGTGGAAAAAATCACATGTAATTGTTAGCAGATGAGTCTGAGATGTGCAACTGAATTTGCCTCTATCAAATTCACCAGAAAAAGCTCTGCTCACGGTTGTTCTTCATGGAGATGTCTGGTTTATGGAATAAAATTATGCCACCCTATTAAGAATTCCATTGACCTAAATTCAGCATTACATTTGATTAAGATACATAGTAAACTGAAAACTTTGATCAAACCTGTGAAAAAAAAACAGCGGTGATGACCCTTCAGACCTGTCCTGCGGAGAGCAGGCCGAGCTCACATTACACACGGCACAGTGGGCGTTTCACCAGAACAAACCCAGTGCCATTAATCATCATTAGTAACAAGGATCCCGCTTCCCTAAGAAGGATTACGTGAGCATTCGCCATATAAGGATCACAGCTGAGCGTGGCTGGAATCCCTCTAGTAGTGTGGTTCTCATTAGCAGGGATTTTTGCAAGAGCTTGATTCTATTACACGGTGCTGCATAATGACTGTCTACATGATTTGTGCAATGGAGTTATCTGCAGATTGCGTATACGGCAATCCTTCAGAATGAAGAATAACTTCACTGAGGATGTCACATGACCCATGGCTGGCGTTACCTGTCTGTTAAGCAGGATGTAGATGACGGGGTTGTAGAAGGAGGCGCTCTTGGCAAAGAAGGCTGGGGCGGTCATGAACACAGGCCCGAAGTCAGTACCCTGATTGGCGAAGATGTACAAGGCGACGCTGGCGTATGGCAACCAGCACACCAGGAAGGATATCACCATGACAACGACCATGCGGGTCACTTCCTTCTCTGCCCGCTGGGTTGTCTCAGATTCCTGCTGCTGCGCCGCGGCCTGCACAGGGACAGGACATGGTGTGGGGCGCCGCACACGGACACGCGATCACACGGACACGCGATCACACACGCGTCCCTTCCCTCCACCAGCACAAGAGTGAGAAACATCCCATCCCACACTTATCACCCTATACAGACTCGGTGTCTGCCGTATGCGACAGTAAAGGCGTAAGCAAGCACATGCAAAAGCTGATCAGCATCCAGGGTCCACAGGAAACCTAAGGTCACATGTCACTGTACGGTTCCCCGTTGACACGACGGGATGGGGGCGGGGCTTACCGCCCGGACCGTGCACAGCAGGCGGCTATAGCAGAAGAAAATGATCATCAGTGGGATTGTGAAGTGCAGCACAAACATGTAGATGACGAACGACGTGTTGTTGATCTCGGGCTTTGGCGTGTAGTAGTCAATCCCACAGGAGCACTGCATGCCTTCTGGGATGTACCTGCAGGGGGCCAGCAAATTACAACTGTAGTGCACACACACACACACACACACACACACACACCTGGGACGGTCAGCAGTACTAAACACAGAGTGATAGGTGCATGCATACTCCTGAACACACTAGTAGGACTGGATACAGAATGATAGAAACACACACTCAGAAGGACCAGCCTTTTTAGTGATATCTCATGCATTTCAAGGTTCTCAAAGATTTAGAGAAAAGCACCCCAGGCTCGATGCTCACACAGATTTCCTTTATATATAATAGAAACCATTTCATCAGAATATATCTGCTATGGCTGTCTGAACATTTGCTCATTTTCCACACACTCTGGGCAGCTCAGACACCACATAACCAAACAGCATGTCCTTGGATTGTGGGAGAACTCAGAGAAAAGTCGCATGACAGGAGAACATGCAAACTACAGACACCCAAAGCAGAGGTGGGATTCAAACCACCGGCTCTGAAGGTGTGAGGCTACAGGGGAACCAACAGAGCCTCCTCGCAGCCACTTATCAGATTGCTTTTCTTGATATTGCTGAAATCCTGTCAAGCATCCGTTGGGCACATGATGTGTTACATAAAGGACACACAGTGCTGTGGTTAGGAAGCGGTTGGTTATGCTCAGTAGTGATGTAATCACTGGCCAACTCCTCATACTGAGAAAGCCACCTAGTTTCAAACTGGACGAATGTATAAAAAGGTGATAAGGTTTAGTCTAGTGATTATGTAAATACTGTAATAAAAAACTGCAGTCTATTTCTGAAGGAGCCACAATGTTACCGGCCAGTGGAACTCCCGTTTCTACACACACACACACACACACACGCACACACACACGCACACGCACGCACACGCACACGCACGCGCACGCGCACACGCACACGCACACGCACACACACACACACACACACACACACACACACACACGCACACACACACGCACACGCACGCACACGCACACGCACGCGCACGCGCACACGCACACGCACACGCACACACACACACACACACACACACACACACACACACGCTGCCTCCTACCTGGACCAGCCCAGCAGTGGCGGCACAGCACAGGTGAGGGACATGATCCAGGTCAGTGCCACGCCCACCACAGCATGAGTCTCCCTGAAGCGGAAGGTGTTCACAGGCTTGCAGACCACCACGTAGCGCTCCACCGCTAACACCACCAGGGACCACAGGCCAATCTCCCCTGCCGGCCCCCCGAGACCCCGCAGGGTGAGGGGCTGATTGCACAGTGAACATAATGCGTCCACACACAGCTGGCTTGACTTTAAGAAGCTTTGCCGCACGGTTTGGAAATGTTTCTCAAATCTGTCTTACTGCATATGACGTACAGGTCAGGCAAGCTCACTGGTTCTTGCTCCTAACTCCCAAAATAAAAACTGAACTAATTAAGTAATTAATTAAACTAAGAAGATTGGAGGGGGGAAAAAACAATGTACACCAAACGGAGAAAAAAACGAGTTGGCATCTAAATTTACAGAAGTTACAACCATGATTTGGAGTTAAAATTTGCTGGTACAATATTGTTCTATAATTTTAACTAGCAAATTAACCTATCATACATTACCTATTGATTACAAAAGTCATGCTTATAAGAACAATGTGGTCATTTTTGGACCTGATTCCATATCCTATAGGTAGAAAGGTCCTGAACTCAAAGGTGGACAATGAATGCCGATCTGTCTACTCACCACCCATAGTGGCAAAGAAACCCTCCAGGTTGCAGCCCAAGACCCCAAGCACAAAGTATCCATGCAGTGAGGTGTAGAGCGTGGTGGTGAAACCCCCCACCACCATGAAGAGGCCGGCCACCGCCAGGTTGAGTAGGATGTAGTTCAGAGGGGTGCGGAGCTTCTTGTGCTGGATGGTAACGTAGAGAGTGAGGAAGTTGATGGGAAAGGCGGTGATTATGAGGAAGATCATGTAGGCGGCCAGCAGGGAGTACTTCCAGGGTTCGGCAAGGTAGTACTGGGGGTACTCAAAGGGACTGCGCACCAGCCCACTCTTATTGGTCATGGGCACATAGAAGTTGAGACCCTCTGTTCCATTCATGGCTGCAGCGATTCCTGCGCTTCCTGCTGACGGAGCCTGGAGACCAATGCAGCCCCCGCATGCAGGTTATGTTCCTTTTAAGTTCTTGCCTTGGATTAGTTCAGCTGCACTATGGTGGGTGTCAGCAAAACGGATTTGGGTCACTCTAAACAGCAGTAATCCAAAAAACAGATCACTTGGGTTTAAATTCTGTAGATAAGGTGTCGACGTCAAGCTCAGTCAGGTCACATGTGAACTGGGAGGAGAGTCTTTAGCCAGGACAGGCAGCCAGTCCTCATTGGTAAATAGCCAACCCATGTAGCATATTAGCATCCTGGGACTGGTCAGAAAGTGTACCACCAAATTGCTGTTTTATGGACCACATCAGGGGAATGTAACAAAGATCTGATGTTTTATTCACAATCAAAGAGAAGTCATACATTTCATTTTAATAACAAAATTTCCATTTTATATGACCTGCAATCAACAAATGCAGAAATACATTTGAACTTGTACATCAATCAGAGAACAATACATGAGCATTGATGACAGACTGCTTATTTTACACTATAATGTACAAAAATGACACGTGGAACAGTCTATATTTACAAAAATGGCAATCACGTAAAAGGAATTAAAGAGAAAGTAGAGAAAACACACGTACATGTCTTGCTCCCAGAATGAAATGATCTCCTTGATAAATCCTGAGAAACCTGATCCATGTAATCCGATCACACTGATCAGCTAAAGAAATTTCATTTAATGGATGGTGATAATAGGGGGAGAACAGAGATAGCACGAGTTAGGCAATGACAATAACAACAATAAGACATAATAAGGACAATAATAATAATGATAATAATAATAGAATGGATATTATTCCAATAGAATAGGAAGCCACAGTCACAGTCGCTCCATCTCTGCTCTCTCAGCTGGGCTCGTCGATGGGTCTGCGGCAATATGGACAGCAGTTGTGCTGTAGAACCAGTAGCTCATAGTCCTCACTGTGAAACATCTGCAGAGAGGAGGAGGAGGAGGAGGAGAAACCCTTAGTGGGGGCAGTCAATGTGCCACTAGCCCCTGTTAAAGACGGCTCTAATGTGCCAGGATTTCCAATATGCTTAATGCAAGTCTAAGGGTCCCGTCAGACTCCCGACGGGAAGCCCCTGTGTGGGCGCAGGGGAGGGTGGCGCTACCTGGAAGCAGGAGGGGCACATAGTGATGCTGACGTCGGGCAGGAGGGAGCGGTAGTACTGCCAGCTGAGTGGCCTTGGCCACCGTTTGATCAGCACGTCCCTGCGGCTCATGGATCGCAGCACGGCCCTGTTCACCACCACCGGCACAAACTCCGAGCCGCCTTGCTGTGAGCACAGGCACACGGGCACAGGTAGAAGGACACATGGGCACAAGCATATAGACACACAAGGACAGACATATGGAGACAGGCACATGGACACAGGCAAACAGGCACAGGCACAAGGACGCATGGGCACAGGCACATGGACACAGGCAGAAGGACACATGGGCACAAGCATATAGACACACAAGGACAGACACATGGACACAGGGCACAATGGCACATGCACACAAGCAAAGGCACAGAGACACAGGCGCACGGAAAAATGGGCACAGGCGCACGGAAAAATGGGCACAGGCGCACGGACACATGGGCACAGGCACACAGACATATGGGCACAGATACACAGACACAAGCACATGGATATAAGGGCACAGGCACACGGGCACAGATATAAAAGCACAGGCACATGGACACAGGCAGATGGCACAGGCACACAGACACAGGCACATGGACATAAGGGCACAGGCAAAAGCACATAGACACAGGCACACAGACACAGAAAACTCATTGGTTTTGTTGTTCTTTTGTTTGCTATTCCAGTCTGAGGGCAATCTTATTTTCTGTCAAAACGTCAGATGGAAAATTTCATTTCAGTATCTTATATTATGCTCTTCAAGATATTTTAAGGGCTTCAGTCATAAGCATTCCTGCAGTGTACGATATGCCGGACGCATGACTCAGTGACGTCTGGGCAGAGGGCTCTGCAACTCCTGCTCACCTCAAAGCTGAGCTTTGCCATGAAGGGGTCGTCCTCAGGGTCGTCCATGCCCGTGTCCAACTTCAGGGACTGGGATTCTGGCACCGTTAAGAACTTCAACTTTAAAACAAACTTCTTAAACTGGTGATAACTGCCATGCATGATTCAAATTACATTCATATTAAAAAGCCTGAAACATAACTGTATAATTTCATGCATTCATTTGGTAATTATTCTTCAGCTGTTTAAGAAACTCAAGTATTCAAGCAAACGACTGCACCCCCAGCAGCACGACACTGCAGGTACAATCTTTACATCTCTTGGCAGGTCCTTTGCATTTTGTTTACAATTATGCCATATCAACAGATCCATCAAGAACACAAGACTGCAAGTGGAGATGCAAGAGGTAAGGAAGGGAACAAGGCCAAGATTAAGCGGTTCATTCTGTGAGCACAGCACAGTGCTGCTTTGTCACATGGGCCGGGGACGCATGGGGACACATGGGGACACTCCAAGCACATGTAAACTGAGCGTTCAGTCGCACATTGCTGTTGCTGAGATCTTCACAACCCACCAAACAGCTATACCAGCAGGGGATTGATGGCACTGAGAGATAACCAGTGGTCCCAGATCAAATTTCATCTGTAACTGGTACTTTTTGCTCCATGAATAATAAATATTCATACATGTGCTGCGGTCTGGGAGTCACAATGACCATTAACACCTAACTGTTTTAACTGCCAAAAATGTTTCAGTCACGCATCAAGAAAATGGAGCCATTATCAGTAAACATGAAACTGAAACTTTCACTGTCTCTGGGTTTGCTCACTGTGAGAACACACCGTGGTGCCCTTGAGGGTGAGCTGTGTAATCTTACTAGCCAAAAAGGTTGTGGCATTAGGGCTACTAGACAGAGCCACAGTAAACCTATTAACTTGGACGGATAAGAAGCCTTTGGGGTGAAAGCTTACCACACCTATGGCAATTAGAGCCAAAGGAAGGCTGACAGAGTTTAGCGAGGTACACCTTGCCGGTCCTTCAGAGAGACAGGCCTCGCTCTATCACCCCTGCATCTCCATCCACTCTCTGTAAGCCATCCAGGAGCCTCAGGAGAGTCAAACCGAAATCTCACATTCTCTGACCCAACAGCAGACGGGCACAGTATGAGAGGCGGTGTGGTCGACTGAGACGAGCCCCTAGCACGATGTGGAGAGCTTTCAGTGGTCACAGAGGGCTTAAGGCTTACGATATCACTAACAGCACTATCACTATCACACCAAGGTTCTGAAGAAGGATACCGCCACTGCTCATCTCCTGCCACTGTGCGGGGGACCTCTGCTCAGCGCGGGGGACCTCCAGGTCGATGAGGGACACGGCCTCCTCATCACTGATGCCCTCCTCTAGGTAGAACTCCACCAGGGGAAGAACCTCTGCAGGAGAACACATATACACACAGACACACCGACACACAGAGACACACACACACACATACAGACAGATTCACAGACACACACACACAGACACACACACACACATACATACAGACACAGACACCCTGAACTTCAGGCTGCATGTTCACATCCTAGTGCTGAACCATTGAGCCACTATGATCAAAATACCGTAGTAAAAATCATAGTCTTCATACAGAAGTAAAAATATATTGATATCTATAAACAAAAACTATCTGGAGCCGCAATCGACTATAACCAGCCCAACCAAAATCCTCAAGAACAAGGCGATGTTCAGTCTCTCCACATGAGCTGAGCTGGAAGTGACAGCAAAGCCACTTCTCAGCTGCCCACCTCCCCCGCCGACACAGCGCCCGAGCTCCCCAAGGCAGGCCAAAGAGCGGGCGTACGACGGCCCCCGGCCCGCCGGCTGCGGCTGATCAGCTGGTCGCGAACGTGCGGAAGTGGCACAGACAGACGCGTGTGCAGTCATTCACCGCAGGACCCGCCATGACAGACAGGAACCGCCGCCCACCCGCATTTTAGCTTGTGCTGAGTGACACCACACGTGATGTGGTGTCACTCAGCACATCCAAGGTTCTCTTTAAAGCTTTGCTCTAAGTTTCTAAGGCTTTGTTCTGTGTGCTAAACAGTTTTACTCGTTTTTACTGAAAGCATGCTCTACTTTCATTAATTTTACCTTTAGTTACCCTATAAATAAAATAGCTGCAATCTGTCCTAAACAAAACTCTTCCTACATGCTCTACAAGCTTGTAAAACAGAAAAACAAAATATACCATTTGCACCTTAATTTTTTCGCCACTCGTCCTAGTCATGCTATGTTCTGCATCCTTTTGCCCTTCATGATTATCTCGTCTAAAATTAAAAGGTATAAATTGGCAGTTTCGAGGTCCCCGAGGGGGGGGGCCGCAGCTGCGAGGAGGGTGCAGACAGGTGCTTCTCACCGTAGGACGAGGCTGAGAAGATGAAAGGCTGCCTGCAGTTGATGCACACGTTGCCCTGGATGTTCAGCAGGGGGTTGTTGGTGGAGCAGCGGTAGCACATGGGGACGAGGTCCTGCGGGGCACATACACACATACACACACACAGACACACACACACACACACACACAGACACACACACACAGACACACACACACACACACACACACACACACACACACACAGACACGCACACGGTGGTGAAACTCGAGTCACACTAGCACCCACACAACATGACACGCACAGGTGTACAAAAGGACAAGGCTCTCGCTCTGCAGGCATGGAGGTGCCACCAAACTGAATGGGTGACACCATAGACACATTCAGAGCGAAGATCCAGAATAACGCGGTGGAATGGCTGCGTGGGCTGTGGCGTGTGCGTTAATTCAAGCTGAGACCAGGGGCTGGGCACGTCGCCCAGCGTCCAGATGCCTGCTGGACCTTTCGGGGAAGCGGGGAGGCGCCCACCTCGTTATCATGGAAGGGCTTGGAGCGGACGGTCAGGCTGCCCAGCTCCATGGACTCCTGAAAGCGGGCAGGGACCCGCAGGCCCTGCAGCTTCTCATAGGCGTGCCGGGCCAGCTTGAAGGCACCCAGAGCCTTGCTCTGCTTCGCCAGGGCATACAAGGTGTTCCTGAAGCGTCCGGTTAAGGAGCTACACTTCACGGTTCCTGGGGAGAGAACCTGCCTGTACTGCACCTTTTCTCATTAGCATTTGTCGAATTTATAAAAAAAAAAAAAAAACACAGAATCAGGTCAACCGTTTGCAGTTGTAGCGCCAAATGGTATCACTCCATTAGCTAAAATAGCAGTTGTCCTAATTCCTGGCCTGGTTTAAAAAGCTCTCACCTGTCTTTGCATGTTTAGCTTCTAGATTACTGCACCCCAGTGATGAACTGCTATTTAAATAATCAACATGAAGCCCACTTGAGCTGAAGAAGTTTTAAAGCCAAGGAAGAGGTCTATAAAGCTTGCAGTCATATTCCAGGAGGTTACTTGTTTCAGGACAGAGTTCCCATCTGAGCAATCAAGCCATTGTGTCGGTAACTAGAGGTACATCTTCCTGTTGTCTTCCTGCACATTGTGTTCATTTGCTGTACTAGCCTGCCTTGGAGAAGGGAGATGTGGCAACTGTTTAGCCTCCCTGGACGTTATAGTGCAGCACATTACTGGTTACCATTCAGCCAGAAGAGCGGCCCAGTCTACGGCATGAGATGTGCCATAACGGAAGCGTACATAATTAGGACGGATTAACTGAAGGATTAGCGTAGTGTCGACCATCATTAATACGTAATGCACCAGGCATGTGGAGGCCGGCCGTTGCTATGGCTACACAGATGGCCGGCACAGCACCCACGGCTGATGCAGAAGGGATACACTTTGGAGATTCCCAGTGGCACCTCTTTGGTCAGGTTATGTAGGAGGAATCTGGAGATATTGAAGAGCGTTTCAGGGAGATGGGAACTGAAAGGTTCGTCCTGAAAATAGCAGAGGGGAGAAGCACGTGTTAGCCTTGTCTGTTTCTGGTTATGTGCGGAACACTGTGCCAAACAAAAGGCCTACATTTGAAAAGACAGGCATGGTTAGTCACCCTCCTGGACGGAGATGTGAGAGGGAGATTTTTCCCAGCCTGCAATTCCCAGATGAGGATTTCATCACACAGTGCCATGATGGGAGAATAGTGGAAAGTAAAAAGGGAAGGGAAATGAGCGAGTATTTGGGATTGTTTGGAATCTTACGGTGTACCGCTGGATGAGTGATAAAGTGCGTATGCGGGATCTTACGGTGTACCACTGGATGCAGTGATAAAGTGCGTATGCGGGATCTTACGGTGTACCACTGGATGCAGTGATAAAGTGCGTATGCGGGATCTTACGATGTACCACTGGATGCAGTGATAAAGTGCGTATGCGGGATCTTACGATGTACCACTGGATGAGTGATAAAGTGCGTATGTGGGATCTTACGGTGTACCGCTGGATGAGTGATAAAGTGCGTATGTGGGATCTTACGGTGTACCGCTGGATGGAGTGGTAGACATGGTAAAGCTCAGCCAGGTGCTGGAAACGCTGGAATTTCTTCAGCATGTCATCCTTCTTGCTCTCAGTTTCTGAGACACGAGACAAATAGAACTGACAAACCAGATTGGCTGGAGCAGACTGCTAAAGGCTTTTAAAAAGTATGTAGAATGAAGTGTGTAAATGGAAGGCAGGGGTCGCCCTCCTACCTCGAGCGATGTCCAGGCACTGCATGGACAACATCCAGTAGTAGTAGGCGGCGTCATTGAACCGACTCTCCACCACCGCATTGTGGGTCAGCTGCTCCAGGACTTTCACGGCCTCATCCTGCCACCCAGCCTTGTGAAACGCTGGCAGGAAGAGGTAGTGTCGCGGGAGGCGTTAGCGGTAGGCTCTGGGCCAGTCAGGCCGAGTCCCAGAGTGCCCCCCCCCTCGGTGTCTACCACAGTTTCCAGGGCACATGCAGAGCATGCTAACTGCTCACTTTTCAGAGTGTTGACTTGTGAAAAACAACCTGATGAGTCAACTTTTGTACCTTACATTCCTCAAATGGCTGCTTCCATGAGTAGCATGGCGATTTCATGAGATTCGAGGAGAGACTCGGTGCATGTCGGACATCGGCGTAAATTACAGGGGGATGGGGGGGTTGTAACCCCCCAATAAATCAAAACTGGCTAATACAACCCCCCCAATATTCATGTTTCCACCTAAATGGGTGGAGACCTCAACCCCCCCCAATGTTCAAACCAAAGTTACGTATTGGATGTCGGAGATTGAAAATCGTCCTAGCAGAACATAGAGAAGGCAGACCTGCAGCTCATCGAAATAGGTCCCTAATAAGAAGCTGTCCTGCATAACTGCGCAGTCTGACTGCAACTGCGTCACTGTTCTAAGGTATGTCATGGTAAGGAGGCTGGAGTGAATCAAGAACACAGATACACTTCATCTAAATGACATTCAGTCCTGCTGAGGTTCCCACACGTCACTGCAAAAGAACTAAACAAGTCATGTTTATACATTTAAGCATAAGCTGTAATTACACAGATAATAACGTCATTGCGCAGAGAGCCCTGGGGGGGGCTCGTGCCCGGAACATGCCTCTGGCTGGCTCACCTTTCTGTGCTTCCTCAAAGCGGTCGTTCTCTGCCAGCCACTGTGCATAGGGGACGTAAACATCGTTCTTGAACTGGGGATGCTTTTCCACCAGCTCAAACGCCTGTGGAGTGACCGTACAGACATGTTGGCCCTACACATTCTCTCACAACCCCTCCCCCCCAACCTCGCCTCCGCTGCTCCACACGGCTCGATCCCAAGAAGGCAAGGGATCAAAGCTTCAGACACTGGACCGCAGACAATGACATACATTCCAGCAGGCTTCCACTGACCTTCTCCAGTATCATCTCCTAGTGCAACTCTAACAAATATTCTGGAATATACATTTTGAAAAGTTGAGTTCCTTCCCTGTACAGCTACATTAATCTAACTCTATTTTTCTGATCAGAGCTGCAAGAGGGGCAACATAAGGCACAAGAAAGGGGGAGACCCTTTAGACAGTAAGAAGTCCCAGCCCACAGGTCCGAGTGGCACTCCTCACCTCGTCCCAGTGACACGTCTCCACGTGCAGCAACACCAGTGCCCTCAGGTCTCCCATCTTCGAGTAGACTTCCGCTGCATAGCCATGGTGCTTCAACCTCTTAAAGTGGCCAGCGCATTTGGCAAGTGGCTCGCGCTCTGCCTTATCCAGCTTCCGGGCAAAGTCAATCAGCCTAGGGGACAGCATCAGTGTCAATCAGCCTAGGGGACAGCATCAGTGTCAATCAGCCTAGGGGACAGCATCAGTGTCAA